TCCTTCCTTCCTTCCTTCCTTCCTTCCTTCCTTCCTTCCTCTTCCACTGTCTCCTTTCCTCCCTCCTTCATTCTTTCATGCTCTACTTCTTTTTCCTCCCTCCCTCTCTCCCTCCCTCCCTCCCTCCCTCCCTTCCTTCCTTCCTTCCTCTCTCTTTTACCCTTCCTTCCTTCCTTTCTTTTTCTTTCTTCCTTCCTCCTGTCTTTCCTTCCTTCCTCCCTCCCTCCCTCCCTTCCTTCCTCCTTTCCCCCACCCACCGATTCTGTTGGAGTGAGGACAGAGGGAGGGAGTGCCGTTCCTTGTCTGTCTTCTGTCTCTAGGATGCCAGCCTGAAGTGCCAAGCCTTCATCCGCCAGATTGTCCGCTTCCTTGGTCTTCTGGAACAAAATGGGACAATTGCTCCAGCAGTCCTGGAGCAGGAGTTTTCAAAACTGCTGGAGGATATCGCCCTCTTTAGTCCTCCAGGTGAGCGCCAAGAAAACTCAGCTTGAGTGGGGTGAGAGTTGGGCAGAGGGACGGCACCGAGTCCGTGGTTTGATCTTCCTGTCTGGAAATTCCGATCTGTTGCTTGACCAGGGTTCCTCTCCCTGTTCGCTTAGAAAGGCCATGAATGGACCACTGGTCTTGTACCAAGTGGTGGAGCACCAGCTGAGTTGCCCCATCCCTGTTGGGCTCTCTGCTTCTCCTCTTGTAGCTAACATCTGGAGAGCAGTAGTAATATGGATCAACTTTTGTCAGAGCACGCACAGTCTTATTGCACGAGATAACCCAGGAGTAAACACAGTAAACAGCGGTCTATATTAAATGGTGGTTTATCTTACACTGTCTACAATATCATACACTAGGAACAATATACATACACGTAATATAGCAGGATCCAACACATCACACAGCAGGAAAATGGAAGAGAGAGAGCGCACATCAGTGGAGCCTTCCCTTTTATACAGAGGCTCTTAAAGAGACACAGACCCTGCTGAGTCCTTCCCATCATTACATCATACATCTTACATTACATTAGACGGCTAGCTGTTCAATCATTACCTTGACAACTTTAGACATAATTTGGAACTCCACCAAGGCTACCTTGTGGCCTTCGTATAAGGGAAGAAGTGGCAGACCCTGGGAGTGGAGTCAAAAGAGGAATAGGCCTAGAATCTCTACGTAGCCACCAATAGTCATACGTCCAACCCCTCTTGAATTCCGTTGACCCTCATCTAATACCAAGATAGCGCTAACCACTAGTTGAGTAGTTTCTTCCACAGTTCACCTGTTCTTTCATGCCCGACACCTGCTGAGCAGTGAAGCTTTATCTCCCAACCATTCTAAAGATGGCCTCTGCTTCATGCAGGTCTTTAGCCTGTGACTCAAGAGCAGGGGTCATCAAACTTGGCCCTTTTATGACTGGTGGACTTCAACTCCCAGGATTCCTCAGTCGGCCATTTTGATGAAACTGCGGGCTTGGATCCAGACCAGGGATTTTTCAAACTTGGCCCTTTTATGACTGGTGGAATTCAACTCCCAGGATTCCTCAGTCGGCCATTTTGATGAAACTGTGGGCTTGGATCCAGACCAGGGGTCTTCAAACGTGGCCCTTTTATGACGGGTGGACTTCAACTCCCAGAATTCCTCAGCCAGGCACGCCTGGCTGAGGAATTCTGGGAGTTGAAGTCCACCCGTCATAAAAGGGCCACGTTTGAAGACTCTTGGCTCAAGAGCTTTACAATAGTTTTTATCTTTGCTTTGCAGGTGCCGACGTCCAGCTTCGCAGTCTGTCCTTAAGCAGCCTCTTTGCCGAAGCCCTGATGGTGATCAACAACGCCAGTGCTGCCTCGGCAGGATCCCTCCTGGCTTGTCTCTGCCGCTGGATTGACAGCACAGTGCGTGGCTTAGGGGTAATGCCGCTCTTAAGAGCCTCTTGTCAAAGTTTGGCATCTGTCCAACACATGGCCATGACGATGGAGGCTTGTGTCACCGCCTACTTTAACGAAGGTGAGAAGTTGTTTCATTCCTGCATGCCGGGACTTCCAAATTGGTTCTCTGTCTTTTCTTTTTTCCCTATGGGACCGGTCTTATTTTTCCCATATTATTATCCTTAAGATTGTGATCATTTCTGACAAGTTAGTAAAACTGTAGTAACAGAGGTCCCCAACCTTTTGGGCACCAGGGACCGGTTCCGTGGACAGAGGTTTTTCCGCGGACCAGAGGGTGCGTGTTTTTGTGTGCTGCCTGCATCCCGCGGATGGGGCTTTGCTTGTTTGTGCGGACCAGTTGCTGACGTGCCGTGGCCTGGTACTGGGGACCCTTTTTCTAGTCCAACCCCCTGCTCAAGCAGGAGACCCTAAACCGGAGGTCCCCAACCTTTTGGGCACCAGGGACCGGTTCCGTGGAGAGACGTTTTTCCACGGAGCAGAGGGGGCGTGGTTTTGTATGTTGCCTGCATCCCATGGATGGGGCTTTGCTTGTTTGTGTTGACCGGTTGCTAGCATGCCAAAGCCCGGTACCGGTCCACAGACCGGGGGTTGGGGACCCTTGTTCTAGTCCAACCCCCTGCTCAAGCAGGAGAGTCTAAACCAAAGGTCCCCAACCTTTTGGGTACCAGGGACCGGTTCCGTGGACAGAGGTTTTTTCCATGGATCGGAGGGTGCGTAGTTTTGTCTGCTGCCTGCATCCCACGGATGGGGCTTTGTGTCAACACTGCAACAAATGGAACTGAAGCCATTTTCACTTTGTTTCCGGTTGCCACATATTTAGGAGGGGAGGAGGAGGGAAGTGTAGTTTTAAGTTAGCCCTAACAATTCTTAGCTATGGGAACCAAGGTCATTACTGATTACATTTTGGCCGGCTGGAGTCTTAGGAGGAGCACCCGCCTTTAGTAACAATTGGGGAGTGTGATCTAGGACATCTAATTGGCGTGGGAATCACAACTTTTGAAACTTTGTAACCAGGGGGAGGGGAATTCTATGGGGCGGGTATATAAGCCTAAATGCCATTGCTATTGTTAAATGCTATTACACAGTTGATTGCTATGATTATTATCATTGCGTAGATGATATAACAACAACAACAACAACAATATAATAATAACAACAACAATAATAATAATAATAATGATGATGATGATGTTGGAAGGGACCTTGGTGGTCTTCTAGTCCAAACCCTGCTCAGGCAGAAAACCTTATACTATTTGAATCAATCAATCAATCAATCAATCAATCAATCAATCAATCAATCAATCAATCAATCAGAATAGAGCTGGAAGGGAGCTTGGAGGTCTTCTAGTCCAACCCCTGCTCAGGCAGAAAATCCTATACTATTTCAATCAACCAACCAACCAATCAATCAGAATAGAGCTGGAAGGGGCTTTGGAGGTCATCTAGTCCGACCCCCTGCTCAAACAGGAAACCCTCCACCATTTCAGACAAATGGCTATCCCGTCTCTCCTTAAAAACGTCCAGGGTACCCTGGCGCGAAGTTAAGTCTAACAGCTTCTCTTTTCTTCTTCTCCTCCTCCTCACCGTCCTCCCCCCCTTTCGTGGGACGAAGACCCTCCTCTCAACCAAGACTTGGGCTGGGGACCCATTGTGGCCTCCCTGCAGGTTCCAGAACTGGCAGCCGAAGACTTCCTGCAAGCGTCCCTGTCGTCGGGAGGCTACCTCACCCTCTATGTTTACACACTGCAGCAGCTGAAGGCCGAGCGGACGCCGAGCAACGAGATGAGGGCGCTCTTAACTTTGAGCAAGTGGTCGGAACAGGTGTTTCCCAGGTAGGCCCAGGGAGGGCGTAAAGCTCCGCGAATCGGCAGGGTTCTTCTCCACCGACCTTCTCGATGGCCGACACAATGTCCTTTCTCTCTCTCTTTTTTTTTTTCCATCTGCCCTTCCGTCGCTTCCCTTTGAATTTACCTACAGGCAGCAGCGGAACGATTTGTTTATTTTAACATCCGGCCGTTATCGTTTTTATTTTTTAAAAAAACCCAAGGGGGCAGTCCTCGTCTTACAACCCTTCGTTTAGTGACCGTTCAAAGTTTGCAACGGCGCTGAGCACAAAGTGACCGTTTTTTTCACACTTGCAATGGTAAAATTCGGACGCTTGGCAAAATTCGAACTCTTGACGGTGTATGACGGTGGCGGTGTCCCGGGATCCTGGGATCCCCTTTTGCGGCCTTCCGACAAGCAGAGTCCATGGGGGAAGCCGGATTAACTGAACGACCGTGTTACTCACTTAACAACCACAGTGATTCAGTTAACAACTGTGGTAGGGAAGGTCGTAAAACGGGGCAAAATTCACTGAACGAATGTTTCGCTTGGCAAGATCAATTTTGTGCTCAGTTGTGGTTGTAAGACGAGGACTACCTGTGTTTAATATTCCTTCCTCCTCCTATTTTCCCTATAACAACATCCCTGTGAGGTTGGTTGGGTTGAGAGACAGGGACTGGCCCAAACTCACCCAGCTGACTTTCATGCCTAAGGTGGGACTAGAACTCACCGTCTCCTGATGATTGGCCCAAAGTTACCCGACTGGCTTTCATGCCTAAGGCGGGACTAGAACTCACCATCTCCCGGTGATTGGCCCAAAGTCACTTAGTTGGCTTTCATGCCTAAGGCGGGACTAGAACTCACCGTCTCCTGGTGACTGGCCCAAAGTCACCCAGTTGGCTTTCATGCCTAAGGTGGGACTAGAACTCACCGTCTCCTGGTGATTGGCCCAACTCACCCAGATGGCTTTCATGCCTAAGGCGGGACTAGAACTCTCCGTCTCCTGGTGATTGGCCCAAATTCACCCAGTTGGCTTTCATGCCTAAGGCGGGACTAGAACTCTCCGTCTCCTGGTGATTG